ATGAGAATTTTCTCAAGTACGTATGAACTTTCATGACTATGAGGATTATGATTATGGCTGACTCACGGGACCTTATACGATGGCTAGTTCAGGTATTACAAGCATGTTCACGATTATCATGAATTAATCTAGCCCATGAACTACATGTATGATTTCACGATATTGATTATAAGCCATGTGCATGCTTTTGAGAGTAGTGTCTAGAACCAAGTATGTCTGGGGTTCAGGCAAACCCCAAGTCTCAGAACTACATGTCAACATAGGTTGTTATTCATGTTAACCCTACGGGGTCTCTTCAGTGATCATGTCATATTATCGTTCTTTGCCCGGCAAGGCTTAGGACAGGTCTGTTCACTTGAGTGAGATAGTTGAGGCATAATGTAAGCTCTATCATAAAGGTGTCGGTTATGATGAGTCCTCCCATTGTTCCTTACATTTTATGCATGATTATGATTTCGATACTTTGTCTCAAATTATGTTTTACAGTGGGGGAAAGAGTAGCTTCCCCCATCTCAAAATCCTCCTCATTATCACCACTAGAATCTACGTCCGAGTCTACTCTCTCCATCTCGTCCTCCATGGACACATCATCGTCAAGAGGCTCCTCATATCCATGCCCAACTCTGCAAAGGAATCGCAAGTGCCAACTCAGAGGGTAGTCTATGTAAAGTTGTTGTAGCTACTCCTCAGTCACACCATTCATCCTCAACTGGAGCATTTGCATACCTTATAAGTGGCAACATGTTGTCAATTCACGCATTGCACTCATTGATAGAAAGGACTGGACCTTTTATACCCTCGGTTTCCTTCATTTTAGTTACATCAATCTCCCTAGGGTCATAAGCAGGTCCGCAGTCCGCTTCCTCCTCCTCAATGTCATGCCCACGCATAAATCAGGTCAAGAGACCCCCAAATCCAAAGTTTTGACCTTTTTTACCCTTGCTCTTTTTAACACATTTTTAATGAGTACCCCCATATTAATTGGCATTCCAGTCATTAGTGCATATACAATACACACTCTTTCCCTAGTCACATGGGTTACATTCTTTCCTAGCACCAAACAAGCACAGACTATTTTTAACCAAACTTGTGCCTCTCTAGTTAGGTGAGCATATGGAGAGAAGCATGATACCCAAATTGTTGGCGGAGAGTCCACCTTGCAACAGAGTTAGGTCCACACAAAGTATGTCTAATCTCCCTATACGTGGGTTTCTTCACAATTTTAACAAAGGGTTGTGGGTCAATATGAGGTGTCCCAAGTAATCTATTCAAAGCCATAGATGCAAACTTGATAATTTGACCCCTAATTTTAACTTGGTTTGACCTCTCCTTTGGCATCCAATTTGCAAGGAATTCCCTCACCATATTAAAATTACAATCACCTGGCGCTTCAAACACAAAACCAAGACCAAGGGTGAGTATTCTATCTACCATGTGAGGGAAAACTAGTGACAAGCCATTTCTATCAATAAACATATCATGTGAATATTTGGATTCATTAAGCTCCTTAAACCATTTTTTACCTTCTTTCTCCGTGACCCAACAGAGCCCATATCACCTCAATGGTTGTGGTGCCATCTGCACATCTTCATGCTCCTCTCCACTAGTTTCCTTGCTCTTTTTGACCCATGGATTGAAGAAGTGACATCTTTCCCTTTGTTTACTTTTGGTTCCATTTATGGAGGTTTTCACAAGAAAAATGTCAAACTTTGTGTTTTTGGTGAAAAAAGTTGGAGGATATTGATGAAGAGATGAAGTTTTGAGAGAGTTTTCTTGAGAAATCTAAAGGGTGCGGCGCGGTTCTCTTGTAAATGAGCTGAAATTTTTAGGTCTAGGTTTTTAAATCACTCCCATAGGCTGGAATTTACGCTTTAGCCCTCAAATTTTTTTCCTGAACCATTGCTCTGCGTCGCGACACTTAACGCGCCAGTTTTTACGTGCGTCGTGGAGCTCACTGCTTTGCCTCGCCTGTGCACCACGCCACTGAATGTTGTGTCTCGCCTATGCGTCGCGCCTGGCCGTGCGGCACTTGTGCCTGCACCTCGCTCCAGGCCTTGTGCTGCTTGGCCTGCGTGATGCCATTTTTGCTCGTCCAGCAGTTTTACACCCTGTTTTCAATGTTTGTGCTCAATTTTTGTTAAAAATCATGACCTATCACCTGCACACTTGACAAACACATAAAAATGAAAAATTATCTTGGGTTGCCTCCCAAATTACTCAAACTTCATCAAGATACCTGTTGAGACCGTGGTCACATCTTGGCGGCTTGTTTCACCACGCTGCCCTGTGACATGTCAGAAAATAAAAGAAAAATGAAAAATAGGAAGTAAATATTAAAAGTTAAACACAAGCAATTAATCTAATCCTAAACCGAATTCCCCGACAACGGCGCCACTTTTTGATAACGCTCAAACTCACACTTCCTAACAAAGTATGAAGCGCTTATTGTCAATAAAGAACCCAAATAAGAGGTTGGGATCTAACCCACAAGGAATATGGAAGGATATAGAAAACACTAGTATTTAAGCTTTTAAGTCAGTTATCTCCTAAAGGGGGGATTTGTAAAAGTAACAAGTAATATTATTGAGAAATTGAAGATTGATTCCAAATTAATGCAATTAACTTGGGTAAGTGTTCTCCATGGATTCATAACTACTTCAAGTTTGTGATTTATCCCAATACTTTACTTGTAGAATTGATAACTAGGGTTCATCCAAATAACTAGTTCGTCCCTATTGGATGACTATACTCAATAACCGGGTCAAGTATCATGAGTGATTTCAATTTAACCGTTTCAATTTGTCCCAAATTTAACTATCCTTTGACCACAGCTCAAGTTAATACAATGATCATAAAGGATCAAGGATTAGTTGTACTTCTCTTTTCCTAATCTCTACCTCTCTAGGCTCAAGCAAGTAAAGAATTCAGGCATGTCCTAATGTTGTGCATTGTTAAGAAACGTTTAAGATGAATAAAATACAATACAAGCATTTAGTATTGGTTTAGAATCACGTCGTGCAAACCCTAGTTTGTTAATTCATCATGGTTCCCACAATCCTAGTTGTGGAGGTTTTAGCCTCTCATAATTATAAGTAAATTAATAGCATTCATAGACAAACACATAAATTAATACTTACAATGATGATGGAAAGAAACTCACTTGATTATTGCAAAAATAAGGAAGAATAATTCAACAACAATTGTCTCAAAGCGTTTTGTGAAATAAACTTTCCAACTTGCTTCACTCGTATCGTGTTAATTGTGTCTATTCTTCTCTATTACATAAAAATAAAAATGTATTTATAGTAGTATATTGATGCTTTTTTTTCCTTCAAGGATTTGATTTGGACTTGTAGCTCCTTTTCCTAGTTGAAGTGGGTTTTGACTGCTGGCCGTTTGAACATGCTTGGCGCGCCACACATGCCATCGCACAGGATGAGCTGCGCCTCGCGCATGCCATCGCGCCAATGTTGTGCTGCGTCGCGCCTACTGTAGCACTGGAATGTTGGCACCTCGCGCTGTTGGTCACGCGGGCGTGGCAGTGCACTGTTTTGGCTTTGATCCTGCTTTATTCATTCCATATTCTTCAAATTCACTCCAAAAGCCTCAAATACATCCAAATTTATCATTATTAGCCCTGAAAGCATCTCATCATGTGCGTTAGCCTTTTTTCACAAATATATAACATAAACACATGCAAACACACATAATTTTTTTGCAAAACATAGTAAAGTATGTGGAAAATATGGCTAAAAAGTGCGTGAATATGCCCTTCATCAGGAATATCCTCCATAATACTCCTGATGCTCATATGGGTCACCCTGTGACCATGAACTCTAGAAATACTCATGATCCATCCTTTTGAATTCATAATGCTGACAATCACCTATTGTACAACATTAAACAAAGAAAAAGTAAAAGAATAGGTCTAAGCAAGCAAACTACACTTTAAGGGCTAGATAGGGCTTATGCCATAGTCCCCGGCAATGGTGCCATAATATTTGATGTCATTCAAATCCACTCCCGATATTGGATAATGTAAATGATCGTAGCAAATATAAAACCCAACAAGGAGTTGGGGCCTAATCCCACATAGACTACTCGAAGCCCAGACTATCTAGTACTAAGCAATGAAGTAATGCAAGATTAGAATCTGTTCGAATTGAGAGTAATAAAATTTAACTACGACTACAGAGTGCCTTGTAATCAATTAGAGATAATTCTAGGAAAGTGACCTCACTTATGGATCGATCCCTCTAAATCACCCAATGTGGAAGAATTGAGAGTGGGCTAGGGATTAACATGCAAGAAATTTACTTAGGCATCCCATGGGTATCTTTTAAAAGCATGATAGGTGTCAATCTGCTTCAATTTTTTCAAATTGAAGAGAACTCCATTCTACCCAATTGTTTATTTCCAATTGGAATTCAACTTATGTCTAGGAGAATTCATTAAACAAGGGTTATACCTTGAGTTATTGTTTATTGATGCGAATCCAAACTAAATTTGTTCTTTCAAGCTTCATAAAGGTAATTGGGTAGGATTGGATGACTTTAATCACCAGTCAGACACTACAAAGAAAAAATCAATGAAATGTTCAAAAGTCCAAACTAAATTTTAACAAATTGGGATAATTACGGTTTACAATCCATTGGGTTCATAATTCTAGATCTGGGTTTAGTTACCCATAGCAAGAAGAAGAAGAGAATTAAAGTAATTAGANATAGCAAGAAGAAGAAGAGAATTAAAGTAATTAGACATTCTTACCAAGAGAAATTGAAATCATCAATTGATGTATGGAGATCTTCAAGTTTCAAGCTAAGATCTAGAATTTACTTTGAAAACTAGGGCTAAACTAGCTAATTTCTACTCTCTATTCTAGGTATGAACTGAATAATGAAAAATCTTCCTAAAAGTTGTAGGAAAAATCTATTTATACTATGTCCCAAAAAGCCTAATTAATTTAAAATTTAGTGTGCCAGGGATATAGTGACGGGCCGTCCTTTGTAGTATAGTGGTATGTATACCCTCCTGTCACGTGGGTGACCCAGGTTCCATCCCCAGCAACGGAGCCATAATATCTGTTGTCTTTAAAATACATTCCCAATATCGGCTAGTGTAAATTATCATAGCAAATATAGAACCCAACAAAAAGTTTGGGGTTAAATTCCACAGAGTATACTCGAAGCCCAGACTATCTAGAACTAAATATTGAAGTATTGCAAGATTAGAGTCTATTCAAATTGAGATTAATGAAACTTAACTGCGACTACATAGTGCAATATGCTTAGGTTGTAATCAATTAGAGATAATTCTAGGAAAGTGACCCCAATTATGGGTTGATCCCCTTAAATTACCCAATGTGGAAGAATTGAGAGTGCGCTAGCTGAACATGCAAGAAATTTACTTAGGAAGCCCATAGGTATCTTTCAATAGCACCATAGGTGTCAATCTACTTCAATTTGGTCAAATTGAAGAGAACCCCATTCTACCCAATTGCTTATTGCCAATTAAAATTCAACGTATGTCTAGAAAAATTCATTAAACAAGGGTTATACCTTGAGTTATTGTTTATTGATGCTAACCCAATATAAATGCTCTTTCAAGCCTCATAAAGGTAATTTGGCAGGATTGGATGACTCTCATCACCAATCACGCACTACAAAACAAAAATAAATCAAATGTTCATAAGCCCAAACACAATTTTAACAGGTTGGGATCATTAGGGTTCACAATCCTAGATCTGAATTTAGTTACCATAGCAAGAAGAGGAAGAGAATTAATGTAATTAGACTTTCTTACCAATAAAAATTAAAATCTTCAATAGATGAATGGAAATCTTCGACTTACAAGCTAAGATCTAGATTCTACTTTGAAAACTAGTGCCAAACTAGCTAATTTCTACTCTCTATTCTAAGAATAAACTTAAGAATGAAAAAAGCTTTCTAAAAATTACAAGAAAAATCTATTTATACTATGTCCCAAAAAGCCCAATTAATTAAAACTTCGTAGTGCCAGGTGTACAGGGACAGACCGTCTTTTGGAAGGACGGACCGTCCTTTGGTCCGTACTTTATATTGAAGCTTCTGTCCAACAACTTGTCATCTTTTGATTGATAGACCATCCTTTGGAAATACAGTCTGTATGTTGCACCATACTTTAGAAATCTTATTCTGGCTAGCTCGAGTCCACTTTTCAATTGACAGACCTTCCTTTTGAAAGATGGTCCATCCCTTCAACCGTACTGTAAGGACCCTTTTGGCTGGGTTTCTGGAATCTGCGGCTAGGAAGGGATGGTAGGAGATGCAGATTGTCTTTCAGACAGATGGTCCGTATGTTGCCTCATCTTTTGAGCATTTTTCTGACCTAAACTCCATTCATCTTTTCATTGCTTGAGTTCCTAAAACATAGCATCAAAAGGTTTGTTTCTATTTAATTTAACTCCTAAATATACGCAAAATGCTATGAAATAAAGTAAAGATGTGTCGGTAATTCCCAAAATATCAGTTTCTACAGAGACGTCTATCTGGATCTCATTCTAGACATACAGGCAAGAATGCAGCATCCCAAACAATGGGGACGTCAGTATGAAAGAAAGTACTAGTATATATGGGAAATAGTAATTGATGAGCTACAAATAGTAAATGAGAGTAGAATATAGTATGAAACCTGGAATTTAAACCTGTAAGACTAGTTAAGCTTCTATCTTCTTTATCCTTTCTAGAACATAATACACACCTTAATTCACACTATAACTCGTGATGTAACTCACATTGAATCACTATTGCGCCTTTGAGCACATTATATATAATAATAGCCTTGATATGGCAATAGCGCCTAGGTGCACCCTAACACACACAACTCACGCATAATTAATATATGATAGCCTCAATATGGCAGCAACGCCTTAGTGCACCCTAACACATGCAACTTATGCATAATTAATATATATATATANATATATATATATATATATATATAGCCTTAATATGGCAGTACCGCCTCGGTGCACCCTAACACACATAAACTCATGCATAATTAACATATTTAAGTGGTTGAACTTCTGTAATCACTTCTTTTAACCAATTCCTGAAGGTTCAGTTTACTACTAGATATTTTAAACTACATATACCCTCTTAACTTAATAGTTTCACAAGTAAGATTTTGACTCGCCGTCTTTGTACTTTAATGCTTGATTTTAGATAATAATAAAAAGGAAACTAGGTACAAAAATCATATTTCTAGGATGGTGCAAATTAACTTGATATATTGTGACACGTGGTTCTTTAAGGTTTGATTAACTACCAAAACAAATTTATTCAAATTTCTTTATTTTATAGTCTTGTGGGTTCATTTCTAGATTCTTGCCAAAAAGAATAGAATAACTTTAACATACCTCATTTCTTCAACAACCACGACGAGCAGGGGTTGGCCTTTCCTTTATTAGATTAATCTATAACATAAGTGCATAATGAAGCTAATATTAGCCTCCAAAGACAATATCACCTTACCAAAATATCACGACCCAAGTTCATACCCTGGATGCGACACGGTACTTAAGATCACAAGTGACCCCAAGCAAACCCATGGTAAAGCATACTGCTACTAGATCTGATCTGCTAAAAATAATAATAATAAAGAGGAAATTAACTAAAGAAATAAACAAATACTAAATAATAGTAAGTTGAACGATAATCTGCAAAAATATACTGAAATTTAGTCTGGACTGGACTAAGAATCATGATTGTACTGGACTGAACTGTATAGTGGGAGAGTCCATAACCGGCATACAACCACGTGAGCTAGACGTGGAGTTTGTTGTATACACCCCATCGAAGAGAGCCCACCATACCTTTCTAGGGTATAGTGGATGAACTATGTGATCATTTTCTGGGGCTCATTCAGGATAATAACCTTTGGTAGCATGTAGTTCTGGAAACCTAGATATGTTGAATCCCAGCCCGCTCAGTGCTAAGTACTACTCCCACTGCAAACCTACTTATGTCTAACTGGATGATAGCTCAAAAGTGATGTCCTTGGACTAAATTAGAACTACTTATCTGAAGAGTTCTGAGAGTCTAAGGACCTGAAAGAAACTGTGCTCTAAGACTTGTCAGAGCTTCTTTGTCTGAAAGTTTCATGACATTCTAAAGAATGACAATAATGCTGATAAACTGATACTACTAAGTTTAATAAAAGACTGATAAAAAGTCAAACTGATCAGCTGACATTTTTGGAGAATACTAAGTACATTCTAAATCTGGAAATGCTAACTTTAAATTGAAACATACATGTGGAAAATTATGCTCATATGACATTCCATGGAAAATATAGCATTTTAGACCAGCTACTAAATCATACAAGAATCAACTCAAGAGTCATGATAAAAAATCAAGAATATAGAGGCATTTTACAAGTAAAAAATAACATCCCATGTATAACATGATACTACGCATGGAAGCTTAAAAAAACAATAAGAGGATAAGGAATTTCAACAACTAGAGAGAAACCCTAGGTCATAATTTCTAGAACTATAAGGCTAGGGTTACTGAAGATATTGGGACAAAAGGGTGAAAGGAATACCTTACTGAAGTCTCACATACTTGAAGAAGAAAGTCCCTGAGAAGAAGCCTTGAATTTCTAAACTGGAGGAAGAACTCTACTTCTTGCTGGGGAGAGATCTTGAGCTCTAACATTCTGTTCTTGAGAGGCTACGTGAGGAATGAGGGAGAAGAATCGACTAACTCCTTATAAACCCTTAATATTTATCCCAAATGACATAGTTTAGGCATTAAAAATAACAGAAACTTACAAAAATATCGCTGGAAGAAGGTCTGAAAAACTGCCCATCAGGATCCAACGAGTAGTTGATTGTGACCATGTCTCGTTGGACCAGTCGTTGGTCTTGGGCCTTGAAATTTTAGTTTTAGACTCGACCAATGGAGGGAAAATATGACTCGTTGAAGGTAAAAATAGGTCATTGTATCTAGTCGTGGACATGAGAAGGATTTCAAACAACTTATGAAGTTTTCCCAACAGACGACCCAACGACTCGTTGGTTGACACAATGGGTCATTGTCACTATTTTTCGTCACTACTAGAAATTCTGAATGACTTTTGGGCTTGACCAATGGATAGGAACAATGACTTGTTAGATGAGACAACAAGTCATTGGTTCAACTCATTGTTGCTGGGAGAGATTTCTACTCTTACTGGAATCCTTCTAATGGCTCCCTACGGTGAGTCATTTAAACCAATAATGACTTATTAGATGGCCTGTTGTTTGAAAGAAGGTTTTGATCACATTCTGGGATTGACAAAGATGGGCAACACAATGACTCATTGTTGCCAATGATAGATTGTTGTACCAGCCATTTAATCTGAGGATTGAAATCTGCAAGGCTTACGACGACTCAGACAAGGGGTCGTTGTTACTGAAAACAACTCGTTGGTTGAGTCATCCTGAGGCAAAAAATTTCTGGTTCCTTTTCTGGTTTTTCATTCCAAGTCTGGGTTTGGTCTAAGGAACTTTTGGGGTGTTACACAAAACAATAGCTACACATAAATGGAGCAGAATATGCGTATTGACATTATTTAAATGGTGTATCACAACATTCTTATAAATATATATAGACACTACCCTATCTCCAAGAACACACCAAATAGTAGCTAAATAGGTTTCAATCAGAATGTATATATCGATATTAATTAAATGGTATATCGCTACACCTTTCTTCCTCATTCCAACACCACAAACACACAAATCAATCTCACTGCCCCAATTACAAGAAATAATCCAAATAGCCCCTACATAATAGAAACATATTGAACTCATGGCTTTCAATCTCCATCCTATGAATCCTTAACAACAAAACAACATGAATTCTTCACCCAAACTTCCACTAAAAAGGGGCGAAGATGGAAGTAGCTCTTACCTTACGTGGTGGGATCTTTTATTTCCTTTTTCTTATAGTTTGTAAGAGGTTAAACACCCTCGGCATACACACAAAAATAAGAAGAGAAAACCCCTTAATAAATAAGTAATTTTGAGAAAAATATGTAGTTGAAGTGA